GAAGGGGATGATCACTGTCAACCGGGGGAAGGGTTGGGAAGAAATACCACGGATAACTACCAGATTTAAATAAGCATTTAATTAGGATTTCATTAGTATTTAATATTGCTTTTTAAATTCCAAAAAGTTAAATTTTCACTTCTTAGCAGATATTTTAAAGTACAATATTAAGTTCATACAAAATGAGCAATTAAGCAAACACCATTATTTCACATTCTTCAAAAATACAAATTCATATTTACTCTTTTGGGTTTGGAGTTTTCTTCCTTTGGAAGTACTGAACCTGTAACGTTTTCATATCGCTCAGTGGAAGTCCGTTGTTCCCATGTTTCACACTTTAAATGAATTTGATAGGCTTTGCGTAATCCAAATAAAACTGGGACTGAAAGAACTGTCACCAAGACCTCCGGCCAATGACTAGTGTGTGTCAAAAAAAAGGAGGCTCGCGTGGGTCTTGCCTTTCCTGGCCAGAAGATCTGAGTCAGAGATTCAGTACATCGTGTTTCCAGCCGCCTTCCCCAAACAGGTACTAGGAGTTCACAGGGAAAGGAAACAGCTGCCTTAAACTCTGACCCTCACCCCCACATTCACCAAAAGACAACAAATGACTAGACTGTGGGGTCAAACATCACCCTAGGGGAGGCCTGAGGACACAGGGGAGAGGGCAAGAGAGGCCTCTGACTTGGCACCACTACGAGGATAACAAGGATATTGCAAAAAACACCCCTGGGTTTTGGTGAAAAAAGGTTTTATGAAAAACTTTCCCATAAGAAAAAGTAGAAACTGCACTGAGCTGAGAAAGTGACACTACGTTATCACCCAATTTTTGGCCCAACAGGCACACCACCAAAAGGGCAGTGTGTGGTTTTAAACTTTGCATCCAGTAAAAAAGCTTGTACTATGTACACATTGACATAAAGATCCAGTTTAATTTGCATTTTTCAGTGCAGACTGAGAAGCTCTCCCCTGAACAGGAGTAACAGTGAGAAATGCCCAAACAGTGGTCATCAGCTTCCCCAAAGGGTGTGGGGAGAAACAAGGGACCCTTTTCCCTCTCCCCCAGAACTATCAAAGAGGAAACAGGCTAAGCTGATTACCAATCAGAAATATGCATAATTTAGTTTTGTTGCCTCTTCCCTCCCCAATATTGAGGAATGAACAATTCCGATCTATGTCACAGCAGAATCATGTGCATATTGGATCTCTGAAAATCTTTCTGCTTTGGCCGAAGTGTATTTTAAAACTTCTCTACTGTAGCCTGAGAATGAAGATAAAATGCAGTGGGAGGGGAACAAGAGAGGAGTGAGGGGAAAAGAAGAAGGCTGGTAAAGCAAATTATTAACAGCTTTGTTTATTGGATTTAATGAAGGCTGGAGGCCTATTTGTTTAAAGAGCCAACAGGGGGCAGTGCAGGAGCAGTATGGAAATGGCTCCTGTCCATGCCCCACTGCTAACACCTCCCTGCACATATTTCTGATTGGTGTCGTAGGAACATTGTGAAGTCTTTGTAGCAATACTGTTGCAGTTTCACAAATCAATGGTTTCTGTGGCTCTGGAGAAGTCTTTAAGATTAAGGACAATGGATGTGATTACAAATACAAAAGTCTAGAAGGTGCCAGGTTTCTACATAGGAACGGTCTGTTCCTTCCTTTCAGGCATCATTCTGTAATGGTGAAGGGGGGAAAGACAAGGAAGGGTGCAAGAAGTGGTGAGACAGGACCCACAGCAGTTCTGTAGAGAGCCTGAGGGGGCGCCCTCAGGCACACTGGGAAGGCTTGCATAGATTGACCAGTTGCTGAGAATGCATAATAGTGTTTCCCTTTAGACAGCCTCCGGGTACAGGGCTGGTGGAGCAGAAAATGCGGCCAGGCCAGGGCCACATGGGACAACGACCGTCAAGCTACACATATTGCACCAAGATAAGTGCTTTTCTTTTCACACCTCAATTTAACTTTTTATTCTGAGCAAAAAATAAAACTTTGTGAAGAGTGTGTATATATATATATATATCTCGATATATATATATATATACACACACGCACAAAAAAAATTGCAGCAATTGGGTTAAAGATAAAATAACCTAAAGTGCTTTTTATTTTATTATTTCTTTAATATACCAATATGAGGTTCTGCAAACTCGTCCCTCTGGACACATTCAGCATTATAACATAGTCTCTCGGGAAAACCCACCCACCCTCCATCATCCCCATTGATCCACTGCCTTGACACTGAGGGTACAACTCTCCAAGCTACTGGCTCCCAGAGGTGGAGAACAGAAGTCCCTTGCTTCTACCCAGAGAGGTCTCCACCCATTAAGGCCCCTCCTAGGCTTTGTACCATGATCTCCTTATAAAAGGATGGTGGGGGGTGGGGGGACCAGGGGATTCAATAAATGACACCAACTCCTGTCACCAAACGTGATGCCCTCATGAGGTTGACCAGACCCTGCCAGGAAAGGTAGGGCCACTTTCCCTCAATGCCCCTCCCCCTTGCTTGGGAAGGGCCAAATTCACTAAGGCAGTTTGGCGGGGCCAGCCAAGTTTCCTACCAGCCCCCCCCGCCCCCCCCCCCAGCCCATGAACTCCAATTCCTGATGCTGACTGGCACCCTGTAAAGGAGAAGCAGAGCTAGAGAGGCTCGTGGGAACTGGAACATAAATCTACAGGGTGAAAATGGCTGCGGTTACCATGGGAAGAAGGGCTTCATCTCACCTGCGAGAAGTCTGCAGCCCTTCCCTGACCCTACCCTAGGCTCATTCCTGGGTTTAGGAAACCACACTCCCCAGGAAGGCTCTGTCTGGCTCCCCTGTAGCCAGCTGCCAGCTCTTCTCTGAGGTCCTTGGCACTGAAGGCCAGGCCTACAGAAGGGGGAGTGGGGAGAGAGTGCTGGAAGAGGAAGGAAAGACCGTCTACCCTATGGAAAAAACCTACTCTTTACGACCACTCACTAACATTTTAAGCACACTCCTGATTTTTCAAAAGCTAATTGAATTTGATAGCCCCCCTTGTAATCTTAAGTCACCCCCAAAAGGCAGACACTTCAGCTGGAAAAGTCCTTCAGCCTCAGCACTGTTGTAAGATGCTTCTTCACCACCCCATCTTTGGAGAGCGGAAAAGCCACTGCCCTGGGTAGGCCCAGTGTGGTGGCACAGCCCTGGCTAACTAAGAAGCAACGCTTACACCATGGACACTTCTAGTGGCTTTTCCCGGACTCCCGATTCCCACCGCAGCTCCCCGGGAACTGAGGCCCAGGTGACCCTAGGCACCTAGGAGGAGGTCATTCCTGCCCCCCTCCCACATACCTCTGGGATCCCATTGTGCTGCTCTCTCTCAGAAGAGGTAGAGAAAATAGCAAGGGTCCTGACCTCAAAGCTTCCTATGGGTTCAAGGTCCAGAGACAGCCAAGGACAAGCCATGCTCGGCAGTCAGCTTTCCAGGACGAACCTGCTGTGCTAACAGAAGATTCCCCCTGCCTTATCAATTTCTGCGGAGGTCAGTGGTCACCAGAACCCACCAGCCCTGTGGGGAGGGGAGTGCAGAAGGTCAAACCAGTTCTCCCGCCTAGACTCCTGGAATGAGAAGCCGCGAGCTGCGTGTGGGGGAAACCCACTGCTCCTCATGGCAGCGATGACGCTCACCACCACGAGCCCTAACCCTGACCTTTTGTTAAAGGCAGAGCTTCTGGTTCCCAAAGTGATCTGCTCTGGATGCTGTTGTGGCTGGCCCTGAGTAATGGCTCAGAGAACAGGAGAGACAAATGCAGATCTCTGTACACTAGGAAGCGGAGAAGGAAGGCAAAATCATGGCTACTTCCGCCTAACATCATGGCCCTGTCGGTGGAACCCTGCTGCTCGCTCTGGGCAGGGAGGCGGAGGCCTCGTCGAGACCCTGGGCTGTGCCCAGCCTCTGGGCCCAGCGAGCTTGGTGAGCACTCATGGTTACATTAATAAAGCCAGTTGAGAGTAACTTCCCGTTTTAGCGTGGATTGTATTTTAGGTTTTATGTTTAGAGGCAAGGACTTGGAGCTAAAGGCAGACAGATGGATGTAATTCTATACACAAATCAAAAAACAATTCTTCTTTCCTAAATATAACACAACTTAATCAAACATTCCAAATGAGATAACTTATTGCAACATTTCAGGCTTTTTGGTGGAAGGGGAATTTTGTTTTACCCTGAGTAGAAGATCATCGTTTTGTATTTTTTGTTTTTGTTTTTGTTTAGAAATCTTACGACTAAGCTGAGCAAGTCACACCCTTCTTTGCACTGTACTAGGCTGTATGCAAAACCCAGAGGGGTGAGGGGCTGAGATGGGAGGGGCAACCGAAAGCCCGGCTAGAACCTGGAACCAGAATACCTGGCCTGCCAATGACACGCCACTTTAAAAAACCCTCCCTTAAAGCTACACCTCCTGATGAGCAAAATGCAGCTCTTCTGCTCTGAGGAAGAAAAATGCCATTGAAGGAAGGCGCAGCACAGACCAGCAGTTGGCCATAAGCCCACGTGCCCACTCTAGGACAAAATAGGGATGCTTCTCCAGAAAAACTCACTGCCATGGCCACCAACTGACCGAAAACACCAGGAAGGCAAAGGCTGTGATCGGGCTGCTAAAGCCTGCTCTGCACACACCAACGGATAGCAAACAGCTCACCTGGGGCCCCTGCAGAACCAGACCATCCCCACGGCTCTGGCCCAGGCTTTCAGCTGCCCACTGGTGCTGCGGCTGGATGCAGAACGCACCCGTCACAGCCACTCCGAGTCCCACCAACACCGAGCTCGAACACAACCATCTCGCCCAGCTCCCGCCAACTCACAGCTGTCTGACACGCTCTGCCACTCCCCTCTCTGGTGGAGCGAGGGTCTGGCCTTCAAGCAAGCTTCAGCCTCAGTCTCAAAAGATGCACAGGGAGGAGCCACACTAGACACACTGAATTCCACTGCCCAGTCCACAATGCCCCAGTGCAAGCGATGGGCAACATCAGATTGATGGAAACCACACCCTTTCATTCAGAATTTTTATGCATACAAGTAACCTTAATTTCCAAGTTCACATGACAATAAGCAAAAGTGACATACAGTGCAGCCAAACAGTTCATTTATAACTTAGCTTTTTTTTTTGTTGGTTTTTTTTTCCCCCAAAGATCAGTTCCTTAAAATGGATGCTCCTGGGATATGAATAAAGAAAATACATCTATCTGAAAGGTGAGGCTTTCAAACAGTAGATCTCCTCATCCTTCAAACTGCTGACTCCAAGATGGGGCATCACACCCTGCGGACGCTTCCTGCCGGCCCTCTTCCCGGAGGGGAGCCGCGGCCCTTTCACTTGGAGAAGCTGCTGGTCAGGCTCAGCTCCTCCTCCCCCTGCAGTAGTGCTTCAATGGGAATCAGATTGGACGGTGTGTCCAGGCTCTGGAGGGACAGGAATTCTGACACATCCATGGCACTTAACGTTTCTGTCTGAGGGTCTGGAGGAGTCTCTGCTTGTCTGCTCTGCTCACTGGAAGAGGGTACGCCAGGGGACGAGGACAGCGGGGCGGAGGGGGCGGGAAAAGTCTGTGGTGGTAGCTTCAGGCCAGGCCCATCCGGAGGCTGGGGGCTCGGCTCTGGAGGGGGCGGGGAAGAGCAGCCCTTTCTCCTGCTGGCAGCGCGCTCCTTGGCAGAGTCCCGGCACGCGCACTGACACTGACATGCCTCCTCTTGCTTGATGATGATCACAGGAACACTGAGGCCGATCTGCTGTACAGAGCTCCCTGCGAGAGAGGCGAGAGACACTGCTCTTCAAGTGGCTGCAGGGCACAGGGGGTCTAGGCCAGGTGAGAGCTGAGTGCCATGGAGGCGGGAACGATGGAAAGGCCGGCTGCCGTGCGCCAAGACCAACTCTCTCTTCCTTAGAAAGCCACACACACCATCTGGATGCACCGTCCATTTCCAGCCTCGCTGCCAGCCACCCTCCCCTCTCCCCCTCCACCGCACCCTCCAAGCCAGCCACAGTAGATGCCTCTCTTTTCCTGACATGATCTTCTTACCACCGAAGACCCAGCTCACCCTCCTCCTCTCCTGATGCCTCCAGGCAACGTTACCAGCAGGCTTACACCCAGGGCCTGCGGGAGGGTGGCGGCCTTGTGTAACACACAGAGCTGGAGTTCCCCGTCCCCTCTGTCCACACTGTTCGAGCCTTGTTCAGTTCCGCCTGACCTGGCGGCTCTGAGCTCCTCCCGCATGTCTCACTCCTCTACACGGACACTCTGTAGGTGTCCACAACCTCCTTCTACACAACCAGCCTTGCGTGCACACACACTCTGAACTCAGACAGGCTCCGTGTGTCTGGAGAGAGCCAGAGACCAAGGGGCAGGAGAACCGCGTGGGCGCTGGGAGGCCTGAGCACTAGTGCTTTGGCTCTGCCACACGCTCATCTGTGACTCGGGGGAAGTCATTTAATCTTGAGGGCCCCAGTTTCTTAATCTATAAAATAAAGACTTTGGGGGAAAAAAAAAAAAAAAGACCTTTAGCTCTATCTAGTCACTGACCCAGATGCTATTTCCTCATCACTGTTAATTAGAAGAGAGTCCAGTGAATTAACAACTGCCCTCTTTAGCACTAACTGTGATTCAAACTTTTTCTCTGGCTACATTTAGAAACTGATTCTGAAAGGGAAAGAAGTCGATTTACTAGTTAAAAAACGTTAAGTGTGGTATTTATGTCCTAAGTGCACTAACCTCCAAGATTTATGAGAATATGAAATACTCTAATAAGTAAACAATACAATCTGTTGTTTGTGACAAACTTGATTTTAAAGTTTTAAAAACCGAGGCAAAGCAACAACTAAGTGTGCCTTGAGGAGCCCAGAGAGTTGACTTCCTTTCCAAGCTCACACGGAAGAACGTACCTGTGCTACTGGCTACTGGCACCGCGGTGGTAAAGAACACCTTCTCAACTTTCGATGCTTGCTGCTGAAAAAGAAATCACATTTATGACCACTAGAATAGAGCAGATCTGTCACCCCAATAAATTAAATTTAAAAAAAATATGGCAGATCTCCAAGGACCTGAAGCCTCGCCAGTTGCAATGGTCACCCAAGAAGACAGAAAACCCTCAGTGTTAAGGGAGTTTTGCACTGAGTGATGTTTTGTTTGTGCTCTGACATGAGGTCAACCCACTGTTTGACATTCAGCTCGGACAATGGAGCCAGCTTTCTCCTCCACTACTTGGCTGTCCCCAGCTGCCTGCTCCAGGGCTTCCGTGTGCCCAAAGGCTCCTCCGAGGTTGCTTTTCCCAAGCTGATAATCTTCTCAGAGGGAGCCCCGAGGCTGGCTTCGCCCCAAGCTTTCCGCCATTCTCCAGTTTTCTCTGAGGCTGGAGAGTTCTGCCCCCACCCAGAAGGATTAAGCTGCGCGCTAAGGACACGCTCAGACTCCCTCTCACAGGCAGAACAGCCCTGCCAAAGGCCCTGAGCACAGGGCAGTGTCTCAAGGGTGGGCCTGGGACTCCGCCACCGGATTCAAGTCCTGACTCTGCTCCTTATTAGCTGTTGAGGTCAGGCAAGTGTTTGAACCTCTTAGCATCTCAGTCTCCTTCCCCATTTGTAAAAGTGGGGATGACAACCAAAGAACCTCCCAAAAGAGCCCTAAGAAGATGAAATGAGAGGATGCATATGGAGAGTCCTTGATACGTGGTGAGCCTTCGGCAAACAGCAGCTACTTACACTGAGTATCGTTACCAAGTAGGACAATAAAGTCATGCCCAGAAATCAGCCTAATCACTTCAGTACACTTCCTATTAAGTTGGCTACAGAGTTTCTACTTTCTTCAAGTCTTATCTTAAAAAGGCTTTGTTTTCTATCTCTTCAGAAAAAGGCAGGAAGTCCAGGAGGAACATGAAAGCTTCTGGTGCAGTTGCAGAAGATGACACTACAAAACGGTGACGGAAGACCCAGGCCCGTGTCTAAATGCGCGGGGGCGGACTGTGTGGGGAAGGGAGGACGCCACCAGCTCCGCCTGCTCCCCAGGGCAGACTCAGAACAAAAGGGTCGGAGGACATGGAGGCGGACTGGGTCACAGCCCTGAAAGGACCTTTCCCGAGACTCTGGGCTTCTGAGATGGCACTGGGTCGCCCCAGAGGTGGCCGACACCCCACTTGTGGAATGTGAGTGCTCGCACTGTTCAGCCCTAAATAGTTTGACATGTTCAACTGTAACAGGTGGATGTTCCAGAGCATCCACCACACATCTATCCAGACATTCTCTTACCTGGTGTACCCATTTCTACTCACACCTCAAGGCTCACCTGGCCACTGTGGCTAGCCAACAAGCCCTCAGTCTCTGAAGCCCTCATCAAGCAGCGGGATGTAGCAGTCAAGGGCACAGGCTCTGGGATCAGTCTGTGCTCAGACCCCCCAGCTTTGCCACTTATGAGTTGTGTGGCCTTGGGCTAGTCCCTTAACTGGGCCCCTGCTCACCACTGGTGAAATCACACCTACCTCCTAGGACTGCCGAAATGCATTAAGAAGTGCTTAGTTGCACAGTAGGTGGCATCTAAAGCCACAGACATACAGAAACAGTCAAAAGAGCAGCGGTTGCTGGGGGAGAGGGAAAAGGGATGGAGAGGTGAAACTGGATTTTTAGGGAGGTTCGAGTATTCTGGATAACGTGACAGTACACACAGGACACTCCGCATTTGTCAGGTAACGCCAGAGAACAAACCCTAATATGAACCATGGCCTTCAGTTAAAAATAATGTATCAATACTGATTAACCAATTATAGCAAATGTACCTCACTGATGCAAGACGTTAATAGGGGAAATGCGGGGAGGGTATATGGGAATTCTCGCTACTATCTGTTCAATAAAATAAAAAAAGTGTAACTTAAAAATAATGTACATAGGGTAATCACTTACAAATTAGATCCTCAGGTTAAAAAAGTGCTTGGTTAGCACAGTAAGCCCTTACACACAGTAAGGGCTCAATATATCATAGCTATTATTTTTTCCATTACAATTTTTATTATTATTTGGCACTTTACCTACAGGTAGTACTTTTTTTTAAAGATTTTGTTTATCTATTTTTAGAGAGGGGAAGGGACAGAGAAAGAGAGGGAGAGGGACATCTATGTGTGGTTGTCTTTTGTGCGCCCCCTACCAGGGACCTGGCCTGCAACCCAGGCATGTGCCCTGACTAGGAATCGAAATGGTGACCCTTCAGCTGGCAGACTGGCACTCAATCCACCTGAGCCATACCAGCCAGGGCTAGTAACACTTTCTTTTAAGCATTTTAGCCTCTTTAACTAGAACGGTAAACTTTTATGAAAAAGAGATCATGGTTTTCACTTTTCAGTACCCCCTAGAGTACCCATGTGGTATCTGGTAAATACCAGGCTCTCAAGATATATCTAATCGAAGGAGCAAATCATTCCCTTATCATCGAGACCAAACACTTCTGCAGAACATGGCTCTAAGTGGGCTCTGGTAGCACAAATCACTTCTCTGACTTGGCCATCTGACGGGGTCACGTCAGTCCCTCACATCAGTGTGACTCTGCCTTGGACACGGAACCCGCTTTCCTGAAATGTCGTAGGGCCCCTGGAGTTTGTTGACTGCTCTCCTGCCCTAGAAGACAGGATTAGACTGCAGGTGGAGTATTTGTCCCAGCGCCTACTGCTGCGGAAACGTGAAGGCCATTTCCCCGCCTCCCCGCTGCAGGTATCGACCACAGCGTTCCCTGGATTGATACCGCCGATTCTGGAGAAAACGACTAAGAGACAGAATTCCATGTTTCAGGTCAGATGAGACAGACATCTTCCCTTTTGAAGTAAAAGCCTCTGAGCGTGTCACCCATGTAAAAACACTTCACCCCACTGGATCTGCTCATCCACAATACTCACCATTTGTTCTTGGTTTTGCGGTGAAGTGGTGGCACCATTTAAGATCCACTGTAAGTTCTGTTCTCCCATGACGAGGCTGGACTGCAGGATAGCCGTGTTGGGAGTTGGGGTGATGGTTATGGTGGGGTTATTAGTTAGGACAGAGTTGGCACCCAGGGGCAGAGTCTGGACCATGGCTGGCAGGGGCTCAGTAGTACTTTGTGGTTGGGGCGGTGCTGCCACGGCCGATGTCACTGCCGCTGCTGGTGCAGAAGCCCCGGCAACAACAGGAAGTCCTGGCACGATGGGCTGTGGTGCCTGGGGGTGCGGAAGAAACTCTTGATGATTAGCAGCAAACTGTGTGCTGTGGGGAACAGGCACTTCTGGAGGTTGTAAGAGAGCAGGGGGGTTGCCAAATGCAGCTTGCTGGGAACCAGTTCCTAGGGAGGGAGCAGGCGGAGGAGCGGACGGTGCTGATGCTGGTAGCAGAGGCTGGGGTGGCTCGGAGATGCCAGGCTGCAGTACAAGTGGAAGAGATAAAGATGCTGAATTTCCTGTGGGTGGCGGAACATCATTGACTGAGTCTGCATCACCATTAAAACTTTCAATCAAGGCAGCTGGCAAGAAAAAGAAATAGAAATATATATACATATCCCAAGCCTTATAGGAGCCACAAAAACACAGTCACTATGGAATAAATCAAAGACAGCTGAAGTCTGTCTGAGCCGACTCCCTCATCGCTAGCAGGCTGGCTTTCTGCGTTTCATTTAATGACGCCTCTGGTCCCCACAGCATGCTTCACGGTCAACCTCACTTGCTAAATGTGAAGACCTATAGTGGAGGTCTCAGCATAAGAGATGTGTCTTAAGGCTTTTTAGGAAGGGGGCTAGACATCCTTTTCTGCCACGACCAGGGTGCACACTTGGACTCTTGTGAAGCTTCTGAGACAGACTCTCAGACAAACACAGTGCGATCTCTGCATCTGACAGCTAAGCCTCCGGGTCCCACCCTCTCGTGCACAGTGTGTCCTATCAGAAAAAGAGCTCACAGCTCCTCTCATTTTTTAAAGCCAATGAGAGCTTTTCAAACAGGAGACCCTCTTTTTCTGAGGGTCTAGGGAAGGCAGGCCCTCAGGCAGACCCTTGCAGAGGGAAGTAGGGGAAGCAGCCTTTACTTCTCTCACGGCTCACTGAAAGTCACTCCAGTCAAAGGGACTGGGAGTGTTCGTCATGCCTGTCATTCAGTGTGCGAGCAGTGTGAACTCCCACCCCCAGGGCTGAGATCTGAGCCGGAGGAGAAGCTGTACCACAAACCTGTCTGTTGAGGATCTTCCTGAATTGCCGAGTCGTCTGAATTCTGGAACATCGATTTAAAGATGATTGCTGGTGAGAGTGTGCCGAGATCCGGGCCCTGTGGCAGACGGACAAAGACAAAGATGTGAGACCTGCCGTCAGAGGAAGCTCTCCACCATGAGAAAACCCAGAGCTGCAGAACTATGATGACCTTTTGATATGCTCCTTGTTTCTTCTCCCTCTTCCTTTTTCAGCTGATATGCATGTCCCTAAACGTCAGACACTCAAGATGTGGGTCCTCAGATGCTCTAAAGAACTTGACAAGGCAAGCAGCAGGCCGAATGCCTGTTTTTAGGAAGTTTTACTGGAGCACAGGCATGCTCGCTCACCGGCTGCCACGTGCTCTCGGCCACAACAAGCAGAGCTGAGACAGAGACGGGATGGTCCACAAGGCCACAAGTGTTCACTGTCTGGCTCTTTACAAACTAAAGAAAGTGTCCTGACCCCTGCTCTGAAAGACCAAATTCTACATGAAAATGGGATTGAACACTATCTACTACCTGCAACTTGTTTTTCTCATGTAATAATATACCGTTAATTCCTTCCAAGGTCATTAAATACACTCTATTACATACACACGGTAGTGAGCCAAACCATGTAAAGAGCTTTCCATGACAGGCAGCGGTGACCGTCCTGTATGCGCTACTGTCTGTCATCACACTGACTCTTCAAGACTCACAGTGGAGACAAGACTGCAGGCATTCGCAAAGGTAAAATGTGAGAAAAACTAACAAACAAACATAACTGCCCGAGGACCTGAATCCTGATAGGCACCAAATAAAATGATCACCTCCAGGCTTCCCTTTCGTTAAGGGAAGGGGAAAAACCAGCAATTTTTTTTTTTAGATTTTATTTCTTTATTTTCAGAGATAAGGGAAGGGGGGATAAAGAGAAGGAGAGAAATGTTGGTGTGCAAGAGAAACATCAGTCGGTTGCCTCTCGCATACTCCCAACCAGGGACCTGGCCCACAACCCAGGCATGTGCCCTGACTGGGAATCCAACAGGCGACCTTATGGTTCACAGGCTGGTGCTCTGTCCACTGAGCCACAACTGCCAGGGCAGCAATTCTTTCATCTGCAACCCACCTCCAGTCCACCTCCACCCATGCCATTCTGTAGAGCAAGAGTGACAAAGGCAACCTCCAGGAGTCTAGACAAGTAATAGAAATAAGTGAAGCACGGGGCAGGGACCAGGAAGCTATGGCAGACTGGAGAGCAGGCACCCAGTCACCGGAAGGGCTTCAGCGGAACCTGGCCAGGGGGCTCTCTGTAGGCTGGGGAGCACCAAAGCTCAAGAATAGTCCCGAATTTGCATTTTTGGAGGAATCTACTAATTGGTAATTAAAAGCAAGCAACTGAAAGCAATTTAAAAGCACTGTGTAAACCAAACAAAACCTATCTCCAGGTCGGATTTGGCCTCAGTGCCAACTTGTGCTTTAAGGTCATTGTGTAACAACCCTGCCTCTGGGAGGGAGGGGGATTCCACTGGGGCTGCGCACAGCAGTGAGCAGACTGCCTGCCCGACTAGGGGTCCTCAGGGAAGACGGTGCCCTTCTGGGCCAAGAGGGGCCTCTTATTCTAGCATGATTCCACCATCTGTAAGAACAAGAGAGGAAGATGGGTGACTCTGACTGCCTGCGTGATGGAGGCCGAAAGAAGAAATCTGTGTCAGGGTTCCAGCTTTCGGTCCATAGGAAGCTAAGAACCACAGGAAGTACAGTGGCCGTCAAACTTCTCATCACGATGCAAAGTAATACATTTGACGTTTCAGAGTAAATGTATACACACACACACACGCTTCATATTACATTCATATCCATGTGTATAACAGAAACGAAAGCCTATCCTTATTATGTGCGATCTCTTCTAATACTTCTTAGTCTGATGTCCATAAAATGCTGATTATAAATACAGTTTTATAACCCAATTAAGAGGCATGACTCAGTTTGAAAAATAGTGGGCTAACAACTATCACAAAGCTATAAACTTTGCAACTTCCTCGTGGTTGTTGCTTTGCTGTTGTTGTTCTACCTGCTTGCAAACCATCAGCAATAACACTGATAGAAAGAAATGAGCCTGTGTGACTCCAAATATCATGGACAAGAATGTCCGCAGCAGTACGACTCATACTGGCCCCCTACTAGAAACTACCCAGATACCCCAGGGAAGTAGAAAGAACAAATTGTGGTGTACTTACTTAGTGTAATACTGTTCAATGAGAATGATCTATTACTTTATGCAACAACATGGATTGATTTCTTAAACATAATGTTGCAAGAAAGAAACCAGCATAAACGACTATGTACCTCACGACTCCAATTATACAAAGGACAAAACAGTCCAGATTCCTTATAGGCTGTCAGAAGTCAGGCAGCAATCACCCTCAGGGGGAGGTAACAGCTGTTGGGGGTGTGAAGAGGGTGGCTGGGGTGCTGGGATCATTCTGCTTCTTGATTTGAGGGCTGGTTACACACACGGATATGATGAACTGTGATGAGTCATTAGGCTGTACATTCATGACAGGTGTACTTTTCTTTATGTATGTTAATGTCAATAAAAAGGTTTTTAATTAAAAAAAAAAAAAAAGAAAAGTGCTGAGAGGACTGTGACTCGGCCACTGCCAGGCTTCAGGGCAAAAACCCCAGGAGCAGCTCCCAAAAGGAGAGGAACAGAGAACAGGCTGAGCCTCCGGGGGCCTGGGGCAGAGGGAAGAACACTGGGAACTGTGTGGGACTGGACGGACCCTGCTGCTCACGGCCCGGAGGCCCAGCAGGCCATGCTCCCCGCGCCGCGACCCTCCCACTGCCACCTGCCTCTTACAAACATCCGAGCTAACCAAAGCTCACTTCTAGGACCTGCTGGGCAGCCCAGAAACCCACAAAGTGATGATCGCATGAAATTTTATCATTTAACATTCCATCGTTTTTTTTGAAGCAAAGTAAAATAAAGCAAAATTAACCTTATGCCTTCAAGGAAGTATGGCCTTAGCTTGAAAGGCTAAAAATGAGGCTATTTCCAAGTCTAGGGTAATGCTGGACGATGAGGGCACAGTACGCAATTGACCCCCAGGGTAGAGCAGCCTAGGCTCTGTCTTGCTGGCAGAACTTGCGGTAGAAAAGGAGCCCCTCTTTACAAATGCTCCAAGTTCTCTCACACAGGGTGCCTCCCCTGCTGGCCCCACGGCTCCGGACAGCGCATCAAACTTATGTCACAGCCCTAGCCAGGGAGTAACCCCACCATCTAACACGATTATCTAACATCTAATCTCTGAGATTGGAGAGAGAGTGTAACCAGAAATCTTAGGCTGCGTAGCTCAAAGGTTATCTAGGCCACCCAATACAGAAATTTCTCTTAGAGCATTAGCTCTGAAATGCGCATGTGCATAAAAATCATACGAAGTGCTTGTTGAATATTTTTCTTTGTTTTTCAGATTGGTTAATTTCTACTGATTTATCTTCGGTGTAACTGATCCTTTCTTCCATCATTTCCAATCTGTTGTTAAGCTCATCCAATTAATTTCTTATTTCAGATAAATTTTCAGTTCTGGAATTTTCAGTTGGTACAGTTTGCACAGTTTCTATTTCTCTGCTGAGATTTCCCATATATCCAATCATTACCAGCCTACTCCTTTATGTCCTTGAGCTACTTAAAAACTGTTGCCCAACTTTGGAACACTGAAACAGGCTAGGAAAAATGGATAGAAAATATGACTCTATTCATTTATCTCCCTGCCAAAAAAAAAAAAAAAATCAGCTTAATCTCACATGTTGAGATTAAACATGCAAAAATATCAAGTACAAAATCAAGGCTCTCAAAACTCTGAAAATCAATAAACCACTCACAGCACTGACTCATCATTTCCTCACCTAAAAGAAAAAGCCTGGTCCACTGAGCCGCTCAGTCTAACATCCGGCTCACCTCGAGGCCTGTACAGATTACCTTTTCTCTCGCGTAGGGGTAATGGTGTGCTGTTTCTTTTCAGGTTTACTAATTTTGGATGACCCTGCACATCGCCAATCACACATGATAGAAACGCGGGGTGCTGCTACCCTTCTGGGAGGAGTGTTTGCTCCCACATCCGCTGACGGGGCTGTCCTCCAGCTCCACACTCCGCCTCCCCTGCAGTGGACAGCACTGCCATCTTCGTCCACTTCCAGCCTCAGTTGGGCTCCTCAGGGTCTGCCCTGTACATCTACAGTTCAAGGGTCAGCTAGAGATTTGGGCAGTTTAAACAAGAACATGGGGCTCCCCATCTGAGGTTCTCTCCTTTCTGGGCTACGCCCCCTCATCTTCCAGGTGCTTTGGTAGCCCTGACCTCTGTCCCCTGGCTTATCATGCCAGTGAGGCTGAGTTCTGGCCACCCTGTGCGGTGTCAGCTGGGGCTTGCTCTGAGTGGCTAAGCCGTAAAGCCTGAAAGCCCATCCCAGTGCCTTTGCTGTCTTTCAAGTGGCCTCTTCTTCCAAGTGTTACCTCTGCCTCTCTGGGTTGCTCTCTGGTGCCTTCAAGGAGTTGCTTTTTATATTTTACCCGACATATATTGTTTTCTATGCAAGAGTTGGTCTGATAGGAGTAAGGTCTTGGGGTGCTCATATGAAAGTGCAGTGTCAGATGCTACTCCCGGGGATGCTGAGACTCATCAGGCTGGGGATGAGGTCCAAGAACCTACGTTGTCCTTAGTGCTGCAGATGACTCCACTTTGAGAAACACTTTTCCATAGCATCCTGAGTCATTTAGTCTCTGTTCCTATCACACTGACCCGTTCTTATTTATCACGCACATACTCAGAAAATCTAACCTAAGCTACATTCTTTTAGCAAAGAAACACATTTGCACACTTAACAATCAGCGCTGGTGACACACTAAAGCACACAGGTTCTCAGAAAGCATAAGCTCGGGCTTACTGCAGTGGTTTGCAAGGCGCCTCATGGAGCCACGGCAAAGGTGGGGAGATTCCGAACACAGTGCCCTGAAGCAATCAGGTCTAGGACAGTGGGGTTGTGCTTCGGCAGCAGGCACAAAGTGGGGTTGTTCCTTCACAACCCCAGAGCGGGGAGCTCAAAGGAAGGGGAAGACTGACTCAGGCAAAGACTGGCAGGGCTTGACAAGTCTAGAAACTGGAATTTTGGCTCTCCCATATAGGGTACCAATTTTTAAAAAAAGATTTTATTTATTCATTTTTAGAGTGAGGGGAAGTGAGGGAGAAAGAGAGGGAGAGAAACATCTATCTGTTGCCTCTCACACGCCCCCAACTGGGGACCTGGCCCACAACCCAGACATGTGCCCTAATGGGGAATTGAACTGGTGACTTTTCCGTTCGCAGAACAAGGTCCAACCCACTGAGCTGCACCAGTCAGGGCAGGACTCATTTTAAGCTTCTCAAAGACAGACCACACCAACATTTTTACCATACAAGCTCAGCACCAGCAGGCACTTGGTAAATACTTGTTAAATGAATAAAGAAATAAATTTTCTGGGGCCGAAAGGTTGTCAAGTGAACGACCAGGTCAAAAGGCACTAGGCACCAGAGAGAACAACCTCTCCTATGAGAGAACTTTAAAAACAGAAGAAATAAGAAAAGAAAAAAGAAAAAAGAAAAGAAAAGAAAAGAGAAGAGAAGAGAAGAGAAGAGAAGGAAGCCTAAACAGTAATTGGACACGACCAAATCTGGAACATTTCAAAAATGTGCCTCCCTCAATTCCCCCACTAAAGCAAGTGCTCCGTCCTCGCACTCACTCTCCTAGCACCCATATCACAGGTATACTTACTGCACTAGAGTTTTCTCGCAACTCAGAATCTGTGGACAGAAGGCTCAAGTCACTCAGACAAAGAGAGTGATTTGCATCCTGTGAAAGAAATAACACTTATTGAGTAACAAAAAATTAGGATTTATAATAGCATATTATGTGATAAAACACTTGATTACAATGTCCCAAATATCTAGATGTAAACCTCCCAAAGCAAGGACTATGTAAATTATTTCAATTTTTAAAATCCTGATATTTTTAGAAGACTCTTACATTTCTTTTTTATTTTAATGTATTTTATTGATTATGCTATTACAGTTGTCCCATTTCCCACCTTTATTCCCCTCCGCCCTGCACACCCCCTTCCACCCACATTCCCCCCTTTAGTTCATGTCCATGGGTCACACATATAAGTTCTTTGGCTTCTACATTTCCCATACTATTCTTAACCTCCCCCTGTCTATTTTCTACCTACCATCTATGCTACTTATTCTCTGTACGTTTTCCCCCTCTCCTTCCCCACTGATAACCCTCCATGTGATCTCCATTTCTGTGATTCTGCTCCTGTTTTAGTAGTTTGCTTAGTTTGCTTTCCACCCCCCACCCCCAATTCAGTTGTTAATAGCTGTGAGTTTGTTGTCATTTTACTGTTCATATTTTTTATCTTCTTTTTCTTAGATATGTCCCTTTAACATTTCATACAATAAGGGCTTGGTGATGATGAACTCCTTTAGCTTGACCTTATCTGGGTAGCACTTTATCTGCCCTTCCATTCTAAATGAAAGCTTTGCTGGATAGAGTAATGTTGTATGTAGGTCTTTGCCTTTCATGACTTGGAATATTTCTTTCCAGCCCCTTCTTGCCTGCAAGGTTTCTTTTGAGAAATCAGCTGATAGTCTAATGAAAACTCCTTTGTAGGTTACTATCTCCTTTTCTCTTGCTGCTTTTGAGATTCTCTCCTTATCTTTCAGCTTCGCTAATGTAATTATGATGTGTCTTAGTATGTTCCTCCTTGGGTCCAACTTCTTTGAGACTCTCTGAGCTATCCTGGACTTCCGGAAAGTCTATTTCCTTCACCAGATTGGGGAAGTTCTCCTTCATTATTTGTTTTCAATTTCAAGTAAGTTTTCAATTTCTTGCTCTTCTCCTTCTAGCATCCCTATAATTTGGATGTTGGAACTTTTAAAGATATCCTGGAGGTTCCTAAGCCTCTCCCCATTTTTTTGAATGCTTGTTTCTTCATTCTTTTCTGGTTAAACGTTTCTTTCTTCCTTTTGGTCCACACCGTTGATTTGAGTCCTCGTTTCCTTCCCGTCACTGTTGGTTCACTGTAAGTTTTCCTTTATTTCACTTAGCGTAGCCTTCATTTTTTCATCTAATTTTCAACCATATTCAACCAATTCTGTGAGCATCCTGATTACCAATGTTTTAAACTATGAATCTGATAGGCTGGCTATTTCTTCATTGCTTAGTTGTATTTTTTCTGGAGCTTTGATCTGTTCTTTCATTTGGACCTTTTTTTTTGGAGGGGGTTTTGTCATGCCTGTTGCATAGTAAGGGGCGGAGTCTTAGGTGTTCACCAGGGTGGGGCAACCTTCGTCTCTGCAATGTGACACTATATGTGCAGGAGGGGTCCAAGAGGGAACAATGCCATTTGCCTCGCTCTCTGCCAGTTTTCAGTCCCTTCCCCTGCTACCCACAAGCAAATTGGGCCCTTCTGGTACTGATTCCTGCGGGGGTGGGCTTGTGTATGTTCTAGGACCCTGTGGGTCTCTCCAACGAACTCTCCTGTGAGGCTGGGAGTCTCTCCCACTGCTGCCTCCACCCCCACAGGTGTTTTCAATCAGAGGTTTGAGGCTTTATTTCCCCTCACTGTGCTGGGACCCTGGGTTTGCAGTCTGTCTCGCTCCCCAGTTGTTCCTCCCAGTTTATCTACACGTGAATATGGGACCACCCACACCATCAGCCGCCGCCTCGCTGGGTCTGCCAGCCGCCGCCTTGCCACGAGTCCTTTCCACCCAGCTGCCTGTCTCCGCCCCTCCTACCAGTCTGGATGAATGTTTCTTCTTTAATTTCTTTGTTGTCAGACTTCCATACAGTTCTATTTTCTATCAGTTCTGGTTGTTTTTTGCTTTTAAAGTGTTGTCCTTCCTTTGGTTGTGCGAGGAGGCAGGGTGTCTACCTACGCCTCCATTTTGGTCAGCAACCTTTAAGAACCTTTACATTTCTTAAAGATGGTTACTAAAGAGATTTTTTAAAAGATTTTATTTACTTATTTTTAGAGAGGGGGAGAAACATCAATGTGCAAGAGATACATCAATTGGTTGCATCCTGCATGCCCCCAACTGGGGACCTGGCCTGCAACCTAAGCATGTGCCCTGACTGGGAATCACACTGGCAACTTTTCGGTTCACAGGCCAGCACTCAATCTACTGGGTCACAGCAGATAATTCTTAGAACTCTTGCCCTTGCACAGCCAGGGCAAGAGTTCTAAGAATTATCTCACAATTCAAGCTCTAATGTAACAAAAGCCATGATAATGTGAAATTAATAATATTTGTATAACTGGTCTTATCATTTACAAAGTGACTTCACATCACCTCATTTGATATTCATATGAAACTCTGAATATTATTTTACGTTCTCATTAATGCAAAGAATGGCAGTGAACTGTCCAAAATTATACAGCTAATTAACAGAACACAAACCCAGCTCTTCTGAGAGTCCACCTTCCTCCTATTATGTCACTGTGTCCCCAGTATGGGCCTCTCACGGATCCTTCCTCAGAGTGTTTCTGAGGATTTACTGTTCAAATACAGCTGCCTAGGCTAACTCTGAACTCTGGATTCCTAGAATGCCAGTTGCAATTCACACACTTCATGTGGCAACCCTGCTTACCTCACTGATTAGATGTGCCCATGCATCAACAAATATTCACTGAGCATCTACAATGTCTTAGGCACCAGGCCCAGGGACACAATAATGAACAAAACAAAGTTCCTGCCACTATATAGCCTACATTCTAGCGAGGAGTTTGGGGTAGGGGGAGGGACGAACAAACATGTATTTGTACATAAGATAATAATAAGCACTGTGGAGGCTAAGGGGAACAAGGACTGCTGGGGCAGGAGCCGCCCTTTTGTTATACTAGGGAAGGCCTCTTAGACAGGGTGGCATCTGAGCAGAGACTGAAGGAAAGCGGACATCAACCAGGCACATATCTGGGGAAAGTGCTCCCAGCAGAGAGTTTGGCAAAAGGCCTGGGGCAGCAGTGAGCTCCCTCTGTCCAAGGAACCACAAGCACAGCATGGCTGAAGTGAGAGGAAGAGACGTGCCTGAGCCAGAGTGCAGGACCTTGCAGACCATTGCAGAGACCTGGACTTCCACTTTAAATGGTGCAAGGAGCTACCAGAGGGTGATGAGCAGAGGAAGGACATTATCTGCCTTATGGTTTAGAAAGATCACTCTGGGTTATATATGCAGAAAAATGTGTCAGGGCAGCAAGAGTGGGGAGAAGGGGAAAGATGCTAAGAAGACCACTTAGCAGGTGTCTGCAATAATCCAGGAAGAAGATGAGAGTGGTTTGAATGACGTAACCTGAAGACACGATCAGATCCTAGATACATCAAGGTAATGCTAATGGGCTTTGCTAGTGAATGTGGGATATGAAGGGAAAAAGAGGAGTTGAAGCAACTTCACAATTTTTGGCCTGTGCCACTAGAAAAACAGAGGTGCCATTTGCTGAGATGGGGAAAACTGCAGAAGGAACGGGTTTAGACACGTCAAGTTTAAGAAGAGCAGATGAGCCCTGGCTGGTGTGGCTCCGTGGACTGAACGCCAGCCTATGGGCCAAAAGGTTGCTGAATCGATTCCCAGCCAGGGCACATGCCTGGGTTGTGGGCCAGGTCACCACCCCCAGCTGGCAGTGTGCAAGAGGCAACTGACTGATGCTTCTCTCACACATTGATGTTTCCTTTTCTCCCTCCCTTCCCCTCTCTCTAAAAATAAACTTTAAAAAGTATTTTTTTAAAAGAAGAATAGATGATATCTGGGTGGAGATGTCAAATGGGAGGTTGAACATACAAGTCTAAAGTTGAGAAAGAATCATTTCTCAGCCTTTTGACTAAGACCAAGTGTAAAGTGGAGGAAGAGATCCAGGCTGAATAAAAATTTAGTACTCAAAGGAAATCCAGATGGCATCTAAAGGCTGGGACAAAGGTTTGATCTCCAAAATATATAAAGAACTCACACGACTCCCCACCAGGAGGACAAATAATCCAAATAAAGAATGGACAAAGGCCCTGGCTGGCGTAGCTCAGTGGACTGAGCGTGGGCTGCAAACCAAAGTGTCGCAAGTTCGATTCCCAGTCAGGGTACATGCCTGGGTTGCAGGCCATGACCCCCAGCAACTGCACATTGATGTCTCTCTCTCACTCCCTCCCTCCCTTCCCTCTCTAAAAAATAAATAAATAAATACAATCTTAAAAAAAAAAAATGGACAAAGGACCTGAACAGACTCTTCTCCAAGGAGGACATACAGAGGGCCCAGAGACATATCAAGGGATGCTCAGTATCACCAGTCATCAGAGATGCACATTAAAACCACAGTGAGATACCACTTCACACTGGTCAGAATGGCCATCATAAACAAAACGACAAAAACAAGTGCTGGCGTGGTTGTGGAGAAAAGGGAACCCTACTGCACTGTTGGTTGGAATGCAGACTGGTGCAGCCACTATGGAAAACAGTATGGAATTTCCTCAAAAAAAACAAAAACAACAAAAAAAACCCTTAAAAATGGAACTGCCTTTTGACCTGGTGGTTGCACTGCTGGGAGTATACCCTAAGAACCCTGAAACACCAATTCAAAGGAACCTTTGCACCCCCATGTTCATAGCAGCACAATTTACAATAGCCAAGTGCTGGAAGCAACCTAAGTGCCCATCAGTAAATGAGTGGATCAAAAAACTGTGGTCCATTTACACAATGAAATACTTTGCAGCAGAAAGAAAGAAGGAGCTCCTACCCTTCACAACAGTGTGGATGGAACTGGAGAACATTATGCTAAGTGAAATAAGCCAGGGGGTGAAAGACAAGTACCATATGATCTCACCTGTAAGTGGGACCTAATCAACAAAACAAACAAGTGAGCAAAACAGAACCAGAGACACTGAAATAAAGAACAAACTGACAATAACCAGGGAGGGGGTGGATAACAGGGGGAAGAAGGGGAAGGGTCATCAGGGAACATGTATGGACAAGATCTATGGACAAAGACAATGCAGGGGGAGGACTGAATGTGGGAGGTGGGGGTGGGTAGGGTAGGGAAGAGTAATGGAGGGAAAATGGGGAGAATGGTAACTGAACAGTAAATAAATAATTAAACAGACAAACAAATAAATAAAGCCTGGGGCCAGAGGAGATTCCCGCCACTGGAGAGTGACTCATGATCAGAGAAGCTGAGGTCTGAGCACTGTGTGCTGGGGCCTCCAATGCTCAGGGGTGGTCAACAGTTGAACTGTCCCTGGATTGTTACAAAAGTGAGAAAAATGATCATGACTTAATAAATGCAGCTTATGCCCTGGCTGGTGTGGCTCAGTGGATTGAGTGCTGGCCTGAGAACCTTTAAAAGGACACCAGACCGATTCCCAGTCAGGGCACATGCCTGGGTTGCAGGCCAAATCCCCAGTGGGGGTACTCGAGAGGCAACCACACACTGATGTTTCTATCCCTCTCTTCCTCCCTCCCTTCCCCTCTCTCTAAAAATAAATAAATAAAATCTTAAAAAAAATAAATAAATGCAGCTTAGCAGGCAAAGACTCTCAAACCTTAACATTTACATCTGGTTTTACAGACAAAGAGACTGAGGCATAAAGAAGCCATTTGCCTAAGGTAGGTCATCCGCTTAGTGGCTAAGCTTAGATCTGAATTCAGGCAGGGGAGCTTCACAGGCTGTAATCGTCATAACTAATGCTGTCTTCTCTCTTACAACACAGGGATCAAGCACCAGGCTCTGGAATCTGCCTACCTGCCTAAATAAGACTAATTACAAACTTTGGACACTTAGGCAAGTAATTTCTCCTTGCCTGCAGTTATCAGTGATATGGGGATAATAACAGTACTGACCTCACAGAGTTCTTGTGAGATAAAACATATAAAAGCACTTAGCACAGTACTCGGCACACAGTAAACATTCAGTAAATGTTAGTTATTATTACTAATACAAAACACAGGGAGAGAGTCCTTTTAAAGGGGTCTTTTGCTGTTTAAAAATGGCAAACCACAGAATTAAAGTATGCTGCCTCTCCCCAAATCAAAATCATATTACATACTTTAAGAACCTCATTACCCAAAAGGGGGTCAGTGTGTTTCAGTTTCTTTACCTATGAAGCAGTAAGATACTAATAGGACTCACTTCCTAGGTTTAAGAGACCTATGGTAAGTGCCCAATTCCACATTAGAAGTAAAAACAGCAAACTTATCCCAGGATCTCACCGGAATGATCTGTAGAAGGAAATATGGTGGAGGAGCTTGTCAAGGAAAGGACAAATTACCCAAAACTTTGCAGAGGCTTGTTCTGTGGTTCAGTGCCTTAAACTTGGGGCTCTCGAACCTTTCAGCCTGCAGACAGTTCAAAAGGGCAAGGGACAACCCAGACTCTTCCTAGGTCTTCAATGATAGATTAATAGATGTGTGAAGTAAAGCACTGACAGATATACCATTTTATAGATATGAATGGGAAAATAACACCCTTTTAGAGCATCTGGCTGGCCCTTTGGAAGCCATTCTCAGACCTCTGGTTACAAGACCTCTTCCGCCGTACCTGATGAAAAGGAGATGGAGCTGAATCACAGGCTGAGGCACAGGGAACCTGGTGAAATTTCTGGCTTCTACCACCCCATCCCCAAGTCACAGATCTTGGCCAACTTCCTCCCTCTCACTAACAGATACATAGAGATATTTTGACCTTTTATTTTAATATACACACAATGGCTGCTGTTCTGTGGTGCCCAGATCAAACCCAGAGACAAAACACTACACACCTCTGATCCATTGTGAGCTGGAAGTGCATTGTATAAGTGTCCTTTGTTATCGTGACCTTTCATGTGACTTTTGAGGCTGTACTGAGTGCTGAATGTTTTCTCACAGCCGTTACTGGGGCAGAAAAAGGGCCGCTCACCTGCAAGAATGACAAAGTAGTGTTAATTTTACCATGCAGTCATTTCACTAAATTAAGACACATACTATTCCCTAAAAGAGGGAAGTATTCTTATGAGGGTTCAGGTAACAGTTGTTTTAAGTTGGATAAATTGTATGTTACCTATCTGTCCTAAAACTTAAGGTAGAGTACAGCTTGTGAGACATTTAAAGAGAAGATTTTTTTTTCCCCAGGTTCTTTTTTTTTTAGTATCTTTGTATTGCTTTCATTGCTTAAGGTTGGATTCCTGAGTCCAACCTTTAGATCCTTTACCTCTGAAAGGAAGTCAGACATTGCAGGTGAAGGCTGAGCTGATCAGGCGCTCTCCCTCCACAGAGCTCTGCAGGCCTCCACAGAAACACGGATGTTTGCTGGCTCCATGAAGGTGAAAACAGAAAATAAAAACAAACCACACTCACCAGTATGTGTACGGACGTGAGTTTTAAGGTGGTGGCTCGCTGCAAATGCCTTTCCACAGCCGTCATGATCACACCTAAGGAAGCAATTGAAGCAAAAAGAAAACAGCAGTCATCAGCAATAGACCTTTACCTTCAACATCTCCTGTGAACACAAACACAAACTAAAACTAAAACAAATGTTAGGAACAGCAGGACCACATCAATGAAGCTGGTTTCAGGCATGAGAATGATGACAGGTCCCTGGAAAAGTAAGGTGACAAAGCTGAGATCAGAGGGAGCTGATGGCCCAGGATAAGTATTTCTTGTCCCCCAGGTAAGGCACATGTGGAGAGCACTGAAAATAATAGCCTTTGGATGACTCACTTAACAGAATTCTATTGGCAACGAGAGCCCCCTGGAACAGCTCCTGCCGGTGCACTATCAGAAATGCCGACAGTGGGTCCGGAGGCTCTCACAGACGCGTGGAGCCTGAACTGGAACACAGGAACACGGCTAGAGCCCGCTGGCTGTCCTGACTTACCCACCATCTTCAGTGTTTACGTCAGAGACACTTCTTCCTCTATTTCTTGATAATCAAAGCTAGAAGTAATCTGTCCCTCCTCTGAACTCCTAAAGCATTTAGCTTTTTTTGTGGCACCTGTCATTTCCAATCTTGCTTTATCTCCGGTCTATACAGTTGTTATCTGTTCTCCAAGACTGTACATTCTTTGAGGCAGGGTCCAAGCAGTTCTCCACATCCGCTGCAGTTCTTGCACACAGCAGGCGTTCAGTGACTATTTATATGAATGAATGTTTTTTCTTGTAAGCCAAAATATCTTATTTCTTTTAATAGCAAGCTTCTCTAAAGCATTTTACTTTCTGATTACATGTAATCATTGTGTTTCAAATCCCAGCGAATATTCAAGAAAAATCAGCAGTATTATCACAAAAATGCATGTGACTGAACTGAAATCAGAGTCTCTTCAACAGCCCTATGGGAAAAAAGCAAGGTAAGTGTCCCAGCCTCTGGAGACTAACCAACTGGCCTCTAATTATTTCTGCTTTTAGAGAGGCCATGACTCAGAAGTGCACCTGCAATGTTAAAACACAGTTACTTTTAACTGGTGTTTAAGAGCTGACTGTCCCTGAAGACTCTTTCACTTCCTGGTGCCCTGATGCGGAGATGGGTGGTGCGAACGGGGGAGCAGCACCTTCAATGCCGCGAGTGTAGCAGCCACCTTTCCTGACGGAGTTCAAAGATTCTGCCGGTATGGTTTTCAGTAATACGTCTATATTATATTTAGGGGGAATCCTTACAAACTGATTACGTCACTAAAATGTCACATCATCATCCCTAAATTGTTTCTGAGTCCCTACTGAATACCCAGAACCATATTACATGCCACAAACACAGAAGAAAGTAGATGACACACGTTTTTCCTTTAAGCTTAAACATTTATACTTATATCTATTAAATATACATGTACCTAGATGCATAAATTGAAAAATATGTATATAAGAAATGGATATGCCTGTTTGTGTATATGCATGAGGTATTACAAAGAAACAACTGAACAAGCAACAAAATACTTGCACCACTAGCCTAAGGATTGCTGCCCCTCACGTCCCCTCCCACTCTGCCCACCGAGTCACAGGCAGGCGTCCCTTCCCCTGTGCTCAAAGTCCTCTGAGCGTCTCAGTCTCAGATACGGTCTGGTTACCTGTGCTTCTTTTCCGCCAGACAAAATTTCACGAGCGGAAAACTTATGTCTTAGTATTTCCCTATCACCAATAAAAATACCTACCCTCAAGTGAGTTTCAACAAATACTTCTTTAAAATAAAAGGAAAAATGAAGCAGAAAACCATCACCCAAACTGAGGATGCTCTTGGAACCCACTGCCCGTTCTGCAGCCTGCAGGTCATAGCTGTCCTGTGGAGAGCTAACACTGCCCAAGAACCAGTGAAGGGAATTTCCTTTCCATTTTGAAAAAGTTTAGAGTGCATCAAAACACCCAGCTGAAATCTGGTCAGTAACAAACAGAAAACAGTAAGACCTACCGAAATGGCTTTTCTCCTGTATGGGTTCGGATGTGCTTCCTCAGATCACTGAGTGTGGTGAAGTACTTGCTGCAGCCTTCAGATTCACAGTTAAACGTTTTCCCTGTGTGAAGCCTCTGATGCGCTTTCAGCCTGCAAGATCCCCAGAGAAAGTCCCTCTGTCACAGCGTATTGCAGAGCCTCCCCACATCAGCTCAATAGGCTTCAGGACAAGGGCATAAGCCCACGGCCAGTAAAATCTTTTATGAGAGAACCAAGTAATTTTACGTATGGCCAAATAAATACTAAATACCAATTTAATAAAAAAAATACATATATACTGGAAATAAAATAATTACATTGGCAGAATGGGCTTTGGGAAGGGTGCCAAGTGTGGTGGAGACAGGAGAGGAGGAAACAGAGCTCCCTTAACTTCCACAGTGGGGAGTCAATATCCTAACATGGAAAAATCTAGAAGGAGCAATATAAGCCTAATACTTAAAAGCATGTAAGTATAAAAACATTAATATTAAGCTAAGAGCAGAGAAACTGGTTGCATGTGAAGGGGGAGAAATGGGGAGATGCATCTTTTGTATCAAACCTCATAGACCTACTCTGTAAATATTGAGAATCTATAACCTTATTAAAATTATAAGTGATTTTAAAAGATTTTTTAAAAGATTAAGTGCATAAAAATTCTATATTTATATATATATTTGTTCCAATTCTTTTCCTCAAACAGAAGGACATGTAAGCATGGTTCTAGAGCCAGACGGCCCGGGACCCAACCCTGGTCCCACCTCCCACCGATGGGAGATCCTGAGCCAGTTACAAAGCCTCTCCAGGCTTCCACTTCCTCGCTGATGCTGTGACAGTTGGCACTCAGAGCAGTGCCCGGCACACAGGGAGGGCCTTAAAGTGTTAGGTATTGTTATGTTTGTTATTGTCTACCCAATGGTGAAGACTAGTAAGTCTCCCGAAACATTGAGAGGACCACTCCCCCTTTCTCAGGGTAGAAAGAAATTAATCTTCAAAGTGAGAGGGGAAAGAACATGACGGAAGCCTCGGGACCAAGGCTCTGCACCAGGGAGATTGTACTCTATGCCGAATACTCAAATCCCCAGACCAGAATGCCACTACAGGAGATACAAAATCCAAACACAAATGTACTACCGTTTTCAGCCAACCCAGTACGTGCCAATCTTTAAGTGACAAGTTTCTCTAATGGCTTTTAAGCAGTTGAGCGCAACTGTGCTCCTTAAAGCCCCGAGAGTGCCCCCTGCACTGCTGCAGGAAGGAGTGCTCTGCCACCGTGATGCAGCTGGGGCCAGAGGCTGGCGGCGCAGTGGGAGGAAGGCTGACCTGTAGAGCGTGTTGAACGCCTTCTCACAGCCCTGCACGTCACATTCAAATGGCTTCTCCTTCGTGTGCACTCGCACGTGGATCCTGAGGCTGTAGGAGGTGAGGAAGGCCTTGCCACAGCCCTCCTGATTACAGACAAAGGTGTATTCTCCTCGGTGAGTCTTCTGGTGAGTGCGCAGGTTGCCTGCTGTGCTATAGGTGCGGGGACAGCCCTCAAAGGTGCACTGGTACCGCTTTACCTAGAGATAGAAGACACCTCAGCGACATGGCAAACAGCTGCCCAGGGTCTAACTACCCGCCCCCTCCCAAACTTGGTTCCCAGAGCTTGGTTCCCAGGAGATGTGGATGACACAAAACACGGAAAATCACCTCTAACAAGGCGGGGCTATCTTCCCATTGGTCGAATCACACCTGGGCAACAGAGACTGAGTAACGGGGAACAAGGAAGCTTGCAGGGAGGTGAGTATTCTAAGTGAATGTAAGAAGGGTGTTTCCAGACTTCAGTACACATCTATCCTCTAAAGGAGGATACATAATCTTACCTATATTCAAATACAATTTTAAAAATATTTTATTTATTTTTAGACAAAGGAGAAAGGGGGGAGAAAGGAAGAGAGAGAAACAATGTGTGGTTATCCTGCACACCCCCACTGGGAACCTGGCCTGCAACCCAGGCATGTGCCCTGACTGGGAATCGAACTGGGGAATCAAACTGGTGGCCCTTTGGTTTGCAGGCCAGCACTCAACCCACTGAGCTACACCAGCCAGGGCTCAAATAAAATTTTGACTTCACTTTAAGTCCAACGTCCTGCCCTCTGGCACTATACCTTGACTGGAACTGACCAATGTTAAATTGCGTGCAACACATCCTAAAATTTATATACTCAGGCATACATATTAGCAGGTATATACTAGCACAGCTCCCACTGAATATTTTTCTAGTCTACACAAGGAAAATAATGTATCATGCATTTCTTGGAGTATGACATTTCTCCAACCACCAGCCTCTGGGTTTCCTTTCACCATCCAACTTAATGAAAGGGTAGTTATCACTCCTGCCTCCGTTTCCCGCAATGCCCATTAACCCCTGCCCCTTGGTGAGCTGGCTTCACTGCACAAAATTACCCTTCTGAGCTTCCTGGTGGTCACCCTCTTTCACCCTCTCCACTTTCCTTCATTATTTGCAAAAATATCTTATGGACGATGCCCGCTCCTTCTGAAAACCTGTCCTTCAGCACACAGTAATTCCTTGGGGCTCTCTTTATCTTCTCTGAGCTACTCCTTTCCTCTAATCTTACATGTAGGTTCATTCCAAAGCTTCTCTCTCATCTCCCAAACCTTCCCCATCTCCACACTGATGCAGAGGAAGCAGCCTTAGACTTGGTGGAAGAAGACTAGGTTCTGGTACTTGTGTCCAAGACTCCGAGCAAGTCATGTCACTCTGAGCTTCAGGCTCTTTATCTCCAAAATGTGAGCATTGATACCTGCCCTGGTAGTCTCACAGTTCTTCTGAGTGGAACAAAAGATGATAAAACATTTGTGAAAATACTTTGTAAATTCTCAGCTTTAGCAAACATCTTTTTTTTTAATTTATTGATTTTAGAGAAAGAGAAAGAGAGAAAGAAAGGGAGAAGAGAGCAGAGAGAGGGAGAGAAACATCGATCTGTTGTTCCACTTTTTATGCATTCATTGGTTGCTTCTTATACATGCCCTGCTGGGGGAATCAAACCCGCAACCTTGGGGCATAGCAAGACAACACTCTAACCAACCGAGCTTCCTGGCCAGGGCCTAGCAAACATCTTTATCCTTTAATGCCAATCCTTCTCCAAGGCAAGCTAGATACCAAAATCTGCTTCTAAGGAATGCCAATTTTAAGGAGGCAGCGGTGCACAAATGATCATACACTGTGCTGCGCCTGACAACAGACACATGCCCGAGCTGCGTGCCAGCGTAAAACAGGAAACCTCCCCTTCTCAGAAAGACTAGAAATCCGTGAAGGTTGAGACCAAGTACTCTCTCTGCACTGAGGGTAGTTCTTTGCTTAACCTGTAAAAGCCTATATTTTTAGGGTCAAACTGAAAAGATATTCCTCAGACAAACCGAGGACACTCCAGAAAGAGGCAATGCCTTTCCAGTGCATGGAAAGATGGATGGGTTTGCTGGTACAGTGAACCACAAACATGCCTGCAGTATGTGAGAGACCAGCAGGGGAAGAATCTAGAAAAGGAAGGCAAGGCCTCCTTAGTGAACCTGTGGAGCAGAGAAACAGGACAATGGGGAGCCATCCACAGGTTTAAACCAAGACGACAACACAATCAGGCCTGACGTTTAAGAGAAATCATTCTGATGTCCTCGTGGAAGACGGACTGGAGTAGGAGAAGGGACAGATTACGAGAACAGGGACAACAGTGCAGGAGACAGATGAAAAGAATCTGAGCTAAGGAAGTTAATAGTGGCCAATAAGAGAGATGAGTTCCGGAGAAATTAAAGGGGGAGAGATGACAGGCTGCAGCGACGACTGGGTGCTGAGCAGTAGAAGGGGCTAGGGAGAGACAGAGTTGAGATCGACCCCCAGGATGATGGCCTGGATGGCTGAAGAGAAGGTCACACTAACAACCTGGGATGGAGCGGGGCTGGGGGAGACATGAGTTGGGTCGGAGGTGCTGCTAGGACTTGTGGATGGAAATGTCCAGTAGCCAGTCAGACACACAGGCTGGAAGCTAAGAAGACAGTCTGTGGCCGGAGGCTTGGGTACACAGAGAAAGCTGACTTCACCTGCACACCACGGCAGGCTCAGATTCCAGCCCCAGGGGCTGCTCACCGTGTAACCTTGGGAAGATCACTTAAGCTTACTGAGCTTCCCTTATTTATAACATGGAGGAAATAAAAACCTATCTTTTTAGGGTTGTTGTCAGAGTTAGGGATAGTTTGTATAAAGCATTTAAATATAGTGACTGCCATATAGTAGGTAATCAGTAAAATAATAGCTTTTATAAGAGGACAAAGGCTAGACCCATGAAAGTCACCAACGTTAAAGATACTCATAAAAGAAAAGAAGCCATTGATGGGTGAGCGGGAAAAGGGTTGGGAAACAGAAAGAGAAGCAAAGGAGAATGGTGTCACAGAAGCCTATAGAAAAAGGGTCTCTGGGGAAAGAGAATGATCAAAATGTTAAATGTGTAAAATATAAATAAGCCCTAGCTGGTGTGGCTCAGTGGTGGGAGCAGCATCCCATAACCGAAGGGTTGCAGGTTCGATTCCTGGTCAGGGCACATGCCTATGCTGCAGGCTCATCCCGGGTCCAGGAGCTGGCACGTGTGACCCCCAGTCCAGGCTCCAACAATCTCCAGTCTGGGTGCATATGAAGGCAACCAATCAGTGCTTCTCCTGCATCAATGTTTCTCTCTCTCCCTCCTCTCTCTAAAAAAGCAAATGAAAATGTCCTCGGGTAAAGTAAAAAAAGAAATTAAAAAATGTTAAATGTCAGCAAAAACAAGAAAGATAAGGACTGGGGAAACTACTGGATCCAGTAGCTGGAAATTCACTAACGACTCAGCAAGATTAGCTTCAAGGGACTGGACTGCCGGGGGCAGAGGCCTGGGCAAAGGGAACTAAATGCAAGGTGAAGTGGAGGTAGAGGCTAGCGGTGGAGAGCAGCAGCAGAAGCGGACTTCCGGGTCGATGAAGTGTTTTCTGTTTGTTTTTGTTTCTTGAACAGTGCGTGTCTTGAGCATGTTTGGGAGGGGACAGGTTCTGGGAGAAAGAGAAGCTGAGGGTCTAGGGAGGGACACAGAGAAGAGAAGGGTTAACAGCCGGGCAGAGGGGAAGCTTCAGGTAGAAAGAGAGACGCTGAGCTGCATGCAGAGAACAGAGGGGTGAGGTAAGGTGGGTGTGGGTCAAGCGTGGACAAGGTTCCCGTTTCAGGCTCTGTGGGCCGTGCAGTCTGTTACAACCGCTCCACTCTGCACGTGAAAGGAGCCATGGGCAGTACACACGTGGACAAGCAAGGCCGAGCTCCAAAAAACTACTTACAGACAATGAAACCTGAATTTCATATCATGTTCACATATCATGAAGGACTGTTCTTATTTTTATGTTAAAAATATCATTTAAAAATGTAAAAAACATTCTACAAAAACAGGCATCTGGACAGACCTGGCCTGTGAGTGACAGTCTGCCAACCTGTAAAACCCGTGGGGGGGGAGGGGGAGCAACTCCTCCCTTCTCTCCTCCCACTCCTCTCTCACCTGTGCAGCCTTCAGTGCGGGCTTGCACAAGTCTCTGGGTTCCTCAGGCAAGTGTTCTCTCACGTATGCCTTCCTGACCCTTCCCACTGCCACACAGGAGGTGTTCCATAAGCATCTGCTGAACTGAATTACTGGCGCAGTAGTCCTGGCATTCTCGTGTCTCAGTCTCTGGTTTTGAAGCCACTCACTGCCAGATTTATTCAAAAACAGTGTTCTACACATGCCACTGCTCTACTTGAACGATAAAGTTCCAATTCCTCAGCCTGACGTTCCAGATCCTCCCCAGCCCTCCTCCACCTTCCACTAGCTGCTCTGGAACATCAGGAGGCTCTGTCTAGGCCTGCAGGCGACAGCATACCCCTCCCTAAATGCAGCACTGAAGTTCCACTTGCCTGCCTTTGCGTTCCCTTTTTCTTCAATGGGAGTGCCTGCTTCCTCCGTTCCTTCCTTCTCTGCTTATCTGAATCTCTTTTCTTCAATTTAAGCTTTACCGCCCTACCTCCAAGGCCCTCCATAATCACTCCCTGTCGAAATGACAGTGCCCTTCTCTGAATTTCAGTATTTAACCGTACCATTCACTGGACACCTTGTTTACACTGTTCATTATCCTTTCACACATGTATCCTGGTTTCCCACCAAGATTAAAAGTCTCTCTGGTGCTGCCAGATAGAGATTTCCAAGCAATCACTGAGCCGGAAGGAGAACCAGGGCTGTGAGCGCTGTGGCCACGGCGTCCACATGTCCCAGTCACAGCACTGATGAAAATGATGAATGGCAGGGGCAGACTTTCATCCTAAGATGCTACAGCAGTTGATCACTTTACAGGTAACTGCAATCAATAATTAACTATCCCTCCCTATCTCTCTGCCCTTCCAACCCCCGCTCCCATCCAGGGTTTTTACTTGGCCAATTCCAGCTCCAAATGAATGTTCCTTCCCCAAGGAACTCTTTCCTGACTGACTCCCACTGCACAGTAGAATAGGTATTCTTAT